TCTTCGTTTTTTTCCATTCTCGATTCTTCACGATTCAGCTTCGGATCCGGATCCAAGCTGATGATCTGGAGCTGATGCCGAGAATAGTGAGAGAAATTATGCTGGAGAATTAACATCAGAAATAAAATATGAATGTAGACTGGATTGCATAGCTTGAAAAAAGGCGTAACATCGTGTGTCACGATGTGAATCATATCATCGCGTGTGACATAGGTGTAGCTCTATCGCATACATTTTTTGTTTCACTGTTATGTTTTTGGCACATTTTGCGCGCTTTTTCGTTTACGCGATGGTTGATCAGTTGTTGCGTTAGTAGCGTTTTCCATTGAAAAGTAAAGCCATGTTGTAAGGTACGGATTTATTGGTTAAGACTACTTTTACGATTTGCATAAAATCGTAAACCACTAATTAATTTTCCGATTTTGAAGTTGTGTCATAATTTCTATTATTTCAATGTGAGCTGAAGAGCTGTTCAAAAGAATCGGCTCCCTTTAGTGAGCTGGATGGGTTTTTTTTCCACTCAGCCAGATGAGCTGTTTTGCCCACCTCTAGTTGGAACCAGTTCCAACCAAACCGAGCTTTTTGTCAGTGCGAATCTCAACCTGAGCTAGGTTTTAAAAACAAACGAGCAAACTGACGTTTGTCAGAAAACAAGCAGATCCAATCTTGATACCCGATCCAGGTTGGAACTGAATAATAAACGAATTCGCTATCAATCTCACCACAGTTTGGAGAGATTTGCAGCTGGTGAGTTTTGTTAGCTTGATATTCCGAGCTGCGACATCACAGCTTGCAATATCAACCGCAGTTGTGTGCTTGCCGATTTTTGTCAACGAAAATCATCCGTGATCTTGGGCTTTGGTGAGATTTGATTTTTTAATATTTTTCCAACACTGCTTATATCACAGCTCAATTTTACGGATGTTCAAGATCTTCCAGAGGACGGTCTCATGGCTATCTAGGTCCATGTTTATGCCACGACCCCACATTCATACTGCTGAAATCCCTCTAGTTGGAGCAGCTAGAGTGTGTTTCGTGGTTGATGGGGATTAACGCTACTGTGTGGGGAAGGAAAGGCAAGAGTGCTGTTTTTAACACCGGTTGAAGAATTAGCGGCAGCATATCTATAGGAGCTCTATGAAATCATCCTGATGTCATGGATTCCAACATATCGGGTGAGATCTTTCCTTTATTTTTCTCCTAAATTTCATTCCATTATTATATGAAACATTATATGCTGGGTAAGGGAGGGTCCAGGTGAAGCGAAATGGATGGAGAGGGTGGAAATGCCAACTCCCTGTCTTTAACATTTCGTGAACAGAGGGTGGGCTCTTCTCCCCACTCATTGGGGCATCCTTCTGTTGGATGGCCTGTTTTTTGTATGATCCTGTTGTTGGAAGGAGATTCTCATTTATCCCGTGGATGCACGTAGACGATGCTGCCCACGGATTCATCCAAAGCCGTTTTTGGCAGGTTGAGTACAATTAGAGGCTATTAAACTTGATAAAGTCGAACAGCGAGGATAGTCCACAGTCTACAGACAGTTGTCTTGCTACAGGGAGTGGTGGTTCCATATCCATATCCACATCATATTAAGCCACTGGTAAACCAACAAACATAACATAAAAGAACGTGTAACGACTCTTTCCGGTGACCCTATTTTCAACCTATTTACAATCAAAATAATCTACAGACCCTAGGAAACGTTACGGGTTTTTCGAAGGCATCGTTATGGAAACCTCATTTCCGATTGATCCTCATATCACCTCGACATTTTAAGATCACAAATATCAGGTCCCACTAAACAAACAACAATGAAACAGGAACTCCACGTTTTCTGCAATGTATCAAACAGAGAGGCCCAATAAATGTCAATCATACAAGGTCTGACCCAACTGGATTTTTGGTATTAGTGAAATGTGACAATGTTTAGTATATCATCACAACGTTTATCTTTTTTCGCGGAAAAGCTGTTTTCTTTGACGTCACGTCTGCATTTCGCAGTATGAAATTTTGTGCTGACATGACTTTGTCATTCGCTTGCTCAGTAATGTTTACAACATTTCTGCTTCTACCAACAGCAAGCTGTCAGTTGTTCCAGACCTTGTATGATTGACATCGAGTTCCAATCTCATGAGCGATGTCACAACAGGGTCCGAGATTTGTGCTGCAAAAAACTCGTAGTGATAGGAATCTGTCATTCACTGAAAAAAGATTATACATAGTTCTATTGATAACTCACATAATATTTTTCCAACAAAATCGATGAATTATATATGTATATCACATGACATATGTGTGAGTAATAGACTGATGCAAAATTTGAAATTTTCGCTCCACAGTGCTCAAACGGTTCCAAATTGGGTCCTGATTATCCTCCCAAAATTTGAACTCCATTAGTAAGAACCTGACTTGGCACAAACCATTTGAAGTTTATATATGGAAATTACTATGGGGAAACCTTAATTTCGGTTCATATCAATCTCATAATTCACCAGTTCACTCTACTTTAGAAAATGATAACTGAGCTTGTTGAAAATTTTCTCAGCTACAACTTTGTTGAAGATCACTTTTCGATATAGTGTAAGGAACAAAAATTATTAATGATTCCAGTTACTGATGTCTTATGATTATGCTCAAACAACTGTTTAGCAGGCAACATTGGTGTTTATGGCGCGTAGAATAGAGGACACAAATTATGGCTACTATGTCACACTAGAGAATACTGTGTAGCCCACAATACACTTGCTTAATCTTGCCATAAGATTATCAATCTCTTAAACAATTAATAACTATTTAATTTGACGTTTGCCTGAAAAACGATTTTCTGCAAAGCTGTAGCTGATAAAAATACCCATAATAATAGCAATAGAACTTGTTAACAGTACAATATGGAAAAAAGCTAGAAGACAATGAACAAAAAGTTTGGTTTTCTTATAGTAATTTCAATATAAACTTCAAATGGTTTGATCCAAGTCAGTTTCTTATCAAATCAGGTTAAACTTTCGGAGGCTAATCAGGACCCGATTTGAAACCGTTTGAACACTGTGGAGCGAAAAATTCAAATTTTGTATCAGTCTAGTGAGTAATCATGTAGATTTCATTGGACACAGAACGGTCTTAGTAGCCAAATTTAAAAAAAATAGATAATGGGCCTTGTCATTAACTACATAGACAGTTTTTTTTGGGATTCTTGACCCCCCCCCCTCCCGCTGCGAAGACAATTGTCCTTCCTTTTTTTTATTTTAATGGGCTGTGGATAATTGCCAACCCCCCCCCCCTCAAACTCTGTCTACGTAGTTTATGAACAGCCCCTCTTACAGGTGACACTACACAGTGATAAGTAAGTGAATAAGAGCCGTGATTGCCGTACAAATCAAATGGGTATCACTTCAAGTTTTCACCATGAAGTGACATCCGTAAGAAGTCCCAATGACTGCATTGTATCGGGAGTTTCCTCAGCTACATTTCAATATTGTCTGATTTAGTAAATGTTACAAACATTAAGGGGAAACAGCAAAACTGGTTGTCCCATTACAGCTGAATTTCGCTCGTTGGGCAATCTTTAAGTAGGCTACGGTCTAGTTAGGCTCCCGTTAGTTGGGCTGTAGCCCTTTTAAATCTAAGTCAATCGTCATTTCTGACAGTGTTGATTCCCTTTCGAGGCGCTCATGGATGAACTAGGGGAAATGACGGCTTCGGCATGACAGACTACTTTCGGCAACCCAAATTGAAACACTATTTTCAGAGGATTTTCTTACGAAAACACTTCGCTGAATGCATGCAAACGATTCTTTATGCCTTCAGCTTCAATTTGACTATATTTTTACCACTGAGAAAAAGCAATCTAGCAAGGTTTTCTTGAAATGCAACACACGCACTACAAATTGTAGCTGATTTCGAGTTGCCGATAATAGAACAGCAGATTTACATGCAGTTCAAATGGAACGTTTGCCGAAGAAAAACTGGTTGCCGACAATACTCGCTCTCACTAGAGAAGATTGGAGCTTTGTAAAAGCGTTTCAAAACAGTTTTTGACAGTTCTTTCGACTGAAATTGTTAGAGCAGCTGGCAGCAAAAGATTGTAAATAAACCAATACTGCATATGTGTGCGTTCCTTAGAGAAAAAGGCTATAGAAAGAAGTTCGCTGCTTAGGTTGCCGAGAATACGTAAATTCCCCTATTTGGATAGTTCCTAAACGATTGTGGTGATTATAAACAATCGGTGTATCCCTCGACAAATGTTTAGCTTTGACAGCTCAGTCCAACTAACGAAAGTCTTTCACTAAGTGGGCTATGGGTTTATCCCAACGAGCAAAAGTACATAAGAAGCCAACTTTAAATTTGTTTTTCTCGAAATCAAACAGATGACACTTAGTCCGGTCGTGTTTAATACCGAACACATGAAAGTTATGTGAAATTCGCGTGGATATTTTCCACTGGTTATGTGATTTATTTAATGAGTGAAGTGAATTTCTACACGCTATTTTAAAACTACCCAAATTTTGGTAGAATCCACCCAGATCGGTCAAAACTGAACCTACCCAAAAATGGGTAAACTATTTTGGGAGTGACAAGTTGATAAATTGACAACATCGACATGAATCCGATCGACTTTGTTCATTTGTCAACTTGTCACTTCGAACATAGTTTACCGATTTTTATGGTAGAGTAGATAGAAAGAAAATTGATGACGATTCTGATGATTTCCTGCAAAAATATGATGCACGATGCAATTAGATGCGAGAAATGAAAGAAGATTTTTCGTAGATTGATTCGGTATTGTGAGATTTTTCGAGCATCTAGAATTGAGATTTAGATGTGACGCCTCCTCGGCAAGCACCATAAGTTGAACAGTGCTTAATTGTGAACAGTTCGATATTCACCCGGTTTATTTTTAGAATCACCGAGTACGATTATCATTAGTTGCTGGATCAGGATAATTAAAATATACAGATATGCACAAACGTACAGTTTCATCTGAAAATATTTAATAAACATCAAACTGTCCAATATTAAGCACTGTTGTTCAACCTTGCACAGTAACTAAAAAAATATATATCAGGGTTAAATTTTCAAAGTGACGTATCTCCGTGTGTAAACATAGATTCAAACGTTAATTTATCGAAACTCTTAGCTCGCCCATGCAAACTAACACCACCATCAGGTAAAGTTTCCTCAACCTGATGGTCGTGTTAGTTTGCGTAGGCTACGATAAATTAACGCAATGTTTATTTTTTTTAATTCGTCATTGATATCTTAGTGGTCCACCAAAAATCTACAGTTGCTTACCTTTGTGGTTGCTTTAATTTCAAAATACACTCACATGTATGTTAGAAAACAAAACATAGATCAGCTTTCGTTTCTTTCGTGACGTGCGCTAGAACCAACAACGGCCAGTGCCCGTTTGAACTCAATCAATCATTCCAACCGATAACCACGGAACAATTTTCCATTCGGTATGCTTATCGTTCGCCTTCGCTGATTCATTTGCCTTAAATTCTCACTTTCTACGCCGTATATCATCACTTTATTATCATAAAAAAAACTGTATTTATTTCTTATGCAAACTACGCTGCGCTTAACGTCCTAACTGCTTTGGTTAGCACAATATTTCGTTCAATTACATTCTACATGACGGTTCGTGTTACACGTGGGTACTTTTACACGCATTCCGGTACCTTTCGTTACCGTACCTTTACTTGTTGGTTCTCGCGTGAGTCCATTTCTATTCAAATTTATTTGGTTTTCAATTACATTGCCCCCTGTCACGTTCGATTAATGTTGTTTTATTTTCAACAGCCTTCGACCTGATTAGGCTATTCCTTTTGGATTCCAAACGTCGATTGATGATCTTTGTTTTTTCGTAATTAGCACCTTTCTATACATGAAAAACATAAAAGATCCAACCGTCACCCACCAGTTGGCTGCAATCCGTTTCTTCGTCTGCTCTAGGATGAGCTAAATTCTAAATAAAAACTAGTTCTACTAAATACCTTGTTCCGTTTAGAAACTAAAGCAAATACTTGTGAAAATCAGTCAATTTTAGTTCTAGTCACTTACATATGTATCAATTCTGGAAAACTCGACTGAATATCATTCTTTTGTGTTGCTTTCTTTGTGACTGGGTAACCTATTCGAACACACCTATCATTTTTTTTGACTTTGCCATCAGTTCTCACTTGCTGAGACTAGTGTAATTTTGATTGTTTGATTCCGTGTAGGTTCAACCCTCCCCTAATTAGCGCTCTACTCTACTAATTGCTTACGATTCTACAATTGTAATCTGAAGTACGCTGCCTGCGTCATCATCGTCACAATCACCGGCACCTCGACCAACCGCAGCAGCTTCAGCGCAAATTCAAGCCTGCTGAATCGAACTCAAAAAGGCCGGATCAACCGAAGCAACTTTAGCCGTTAAAAACGCATGCATACAAAAGAGCAAACTTTGTAGAACTTGGCATTCGAGCTCCTAGAAATAAGGAAGAAGAAAAAAGAAAATGAAAAAAAATAAAACGATTGGAAAAGTTTTCGAAAAAAGAGAAGTGAGAACAAGAATTGAAAAACGAAGTTGAACGTATATAGAAAATCAATAGCATTTTATATGCGTAGGCATACGAACAGTAAGCAAAGAGCGGTCGCAAAACTTTCGGTAGAATTTTTCCTATCCGGCGCTGATTGATATCAGATATATGTTTCCTACATTCCAATCAAAATTCCAATCTTTCAAGCGAACGCAATGTGATAGCTATCTGTTCGAGCACTACGCTTACATACCTTTGTCTCGATGGAGCGCGTTTCGTGGTCCTGAAAGTGTAGTTTCAGTTTGGATTTACCATCGTCGCTCGAACCTCGCAGCTGTGAAAATTTGTACTGCCAAATAATGTTAGCATCGGCGCCCTCGGTCAGTGAGAATCCGGCCTGCCAGTCCAAGGTCAAACCACCAGTCTTACCGTGATGAGATACCGCAAATGTTTTACGCTAAAAACAAACAATTAAACAATTACCAAACCCCAACACTGGATACTTTCCCACACACTTACCCCTAATTTGATAACACTAGTAACGATGGCAGCATTCCAACTGTTTTCAATTCGCAGCAGCTCCTGGCGCGTTTCCACACTCAAATAGCGCGGTTCGTGGCCGGAACTCTGCAGCAGGAAGCAATGCTGCCGGGAGTCCACCGTCTCGGACTCCTTCACCACCCGGAACATCGTCTGGTAGACCTTGTACGCTACGGTTGCCTTCTGCAGGTTGGCCACGTTGAGCGGAGGCGCATCGAACAGCATCACCTCGGTGCCCTTCAGTACCAGGAAGCGTGGTTTATAGCTCTGCCACGAGATGTGATTGCTGATGACACCTTCGTTCACCCAACCCATGTACTCGATCCGTTCGCCGACGGGAAAGTTGCGATTGTACAGCTTCATCTGCCATTGACGTTGATACATAGATGAACAGAGAGAAGATACGTATTGAAGCGGTATGATTGAGCAGTGAAAAATCCCTTTTCCAACATTGGGATGGGGAATGCTGGTTGTATGTATGTACCTGCAGATTGGTCAGTCCCACAATGTTGTCGGTGATGTACTTGAGCCAGTGACTGAGGATTGCCAGCTCGTCACAGTGAATTATTCCGGTTGTGGTTCCATTGAGGCCGCGCACTTCGAATGCATTCGGTCGAAGCTTGTCCGTACCGTAGATGTAGCGGGTCACGTAGGCCATCATGAGGGGAACTGGTGGGTGGAAACGAATGATCAAAGGGTTGAATTCTCATATTTGTTTGTTTGTTTTTTTTTGTTATGCATGGTGCTTGTTATTCTTTATTTCAGCATACCTACTGCTAGTCCTCATCGTTCGAGTGAACTGTTTTTTTTTTATCAAGTAAAACAACCACGGCTTGTTCAGCCGGAAAATATTGCGTTAGCTTAAGTTGTTACCGTGAAGGCATGATATTGGACCAAACTTGACGCGTGGTTAGTGGACAGCCCCTATGCTAAATGAGTAAATTGTCTTCCAGATAAACATAAAGCTACCGACCGAACTCCAAGCATTCAAAACTTCCTCAAAGTACCAAGGCTGCAAAATGCTTGTCGATTCATGGTTGACATGGCTGGTTCCCGGCAATGCGATGATCAATCGTTGTGATTCAGTGATTCGAAAGGTTTGGCTATCTACTTTCATATGTATCAGGTAGGAACCCAATTGGACCTGTGGTTGGCCATCCGGAACGGGAAACCCGTGAGAGGTGGCTCTGCGGAAATTCGGATTCACCGGGAAAATGGTCAATTCCTGAAAGTAGACCTGGAGATCCGCGTTTTTTTCTAAATTGCATACAATCATGAGCATAGAAGAAATGTATCATCAATATATCGATTCTGCTACCAGATGGCCAGAAAACGGTCCTTTGTGTATCCGGAATCACCAGTAAAATGGTCAATTCCTGAAATTGGATGTAGAGATCTGCGGGTCTTCTGGGTATCCGGAATCACGCCCCGTAACGTGGGTAGATCACCTTTTCGTGGTACGTTACGGCATGTAAGATCTACCACCGATTCCTAGTCCTGCACCCAACCGAGGGATGTAAGATTCGCTTACAATTATGTGGGATTCATCATCAGAGGATGTTAGTGGAGACCGCATGAACCGAGGATGCGATATACCTAGCTGCGGTCCAATGCAAGAAAATTGGAGACCGAAAAATGTAGAGTGTATTAGTGAGGTCAATTAGTTATGTCGAAAAAAATATGAATCCGATTGCCGACTGGACTCGAACCAAGAACGCTTCGATTATCAGACCTGTGCTTTCTCCACTGCTCTCTCCATGCTCCTGAATATGGATAACCTAAAAGCAAACATGAAGCGCTCATTTTCTCGCATACTCGACTTCGTATGCTTTTTCTGCTGGAGAGATTCGAGGCAAGTGTGTGCGTCGTTCTACAATGTTCTACAATGTGCGTCGTTCTACAAGCTTACTGGTATAGTCGAAAGCGTAGATAGAACACGAAATGAAAAAGACGAAAAACCATTACATCGCCCGTAAGGTCAACTTCTAACATTCGCTGCGATGTTCATGAACAGAGGATGATAGGAAACGGAACTAACATTCATGTAATAGATTTTTGGTTTGCGTGTGACTACTTTAAACTAGGGGAACAGGATTTTTCAGTAACCCAAGGAACACATCTTAGTCCTTGCTACTTTTTATGCTTTGTTGATAGTGACAAGACTCGTCCACCGAGGATGATCTTGAAACAAGGAAAAATGAGTTAGTTAGTCTTGATCTATGTGATTCCTAATCTTCCATTCGTTGTTCCCTAGTTTGAAGTGGTTAAGACTAGGGTTCTGATGCATGGTCATAACCGGTTTCATTCCTTAATTTTGTTGCTAAGGAATCCAATTTTGACTGACAAAGGTATGAATAGCGGGACCTTTCAATTAGAGTCGGATCCTTGCGATAAATGCAATAATGACAACTGTAAAAAAATCGAATACTTCATCATTTCTCAATAGTGATGGAGTAATACGACATGCACTAAACTAAGGACACGGGATATACTACAATAGATCAAATTACTGGTCGCAGTGGTGTTAGTTCCCGAACAGAGGAAAAAAGTAGAAGGGTCTGTGCCTAGGGGCACGAACGGAAGCTTGACGTAGGATCGCTAGTGGACGGAATAAATGTGAAGAGCATTTAGTTATTTTAATTGATCAATCATTTATTATCTCAACTCTTTCCGTTTTTGAATTGTAGGCGTACCAAATTTGTAAAAATCTTTTTCAAAGAGAAAGTTGATTAAGAGAATCAATCAAAATCACTTGCATCCCTGCTTCCAAGTTGGGTTACAAGATTACAACTCTGGAGAGCATTTTGTGTGGTTGTTGAGGGCTTGTGGTTCTGAATATGGACAAACAAGCACAGATAAATTCTATTCCAACTCTTTACTAATGTAAGCTTGATGGCGCATCTTTGACCTCATTTTCCAGGAACACCTTCAGCACACCTCGTAGATCAGACCGGAAAAACGTTTGACACCACCACGGCGAGCCAGACGACCGATGGCGGTTATCTCGAAGAACTTTGCGATGACGCTTGGCGCCTCCTTTACCAGACCTTTTCCTCCTTTGCCACGACCAGTCAATTGTTGCTTGTTAGATGTGAAGGAGTGGACTAGCTACCACCTTCCTACTGCTGCTATTGCTGTTCACCAAGCCGTCCGAAGCGAAAATGAGCTAATGACATAAAGCAGCGCTCTTTATATCTTTTCAGGTTAAAGCAGAATGATGTACAACCAAGTGGTATAAAAGCTACAAAGACTCCTCCCATTATGAGTAGTTTGCTATCAAGTAGCGACACTGGCTCTTTTCCTATGTCCCCGCTCTTTGATTACCTGTGGATTAAATGTTAATCACTGTCTATACTTATTAAGTAGACATGGTAAACATTCACTTCCACATAAATTAACTAAACGCTACACAGTAGGCCTGGCCGCTTTATTGTTTGTTTCACATCCTTGATGTGCAGCAGGCATTAATAATGACAAGAAAAATGATAGATGTATCATTTTCCAGGATTATTTCAAGTACTGGCTGTGTATGTGTAGACTAGACTAGACTAGACTAGAAGTAGCGACACTGGCTCTTTTCCTTTTGCGTACACGGCGAATGAAAACGACCCATATTTGAGTTTAGTTCACTCATAATCGCCAAAAGTGCAGGAACTCAGCTATGAGTAAATTTGTAAATTTGGAAAATCCTGGAAAAACCTGGGAAACCATGAGGCAAATTTACTCATCGCTGAATTCCTGCACTTTATTTCTTATTTCTGAGATAACTAAACTCAAATTTGGGTCGATCTCATTCACCGTGATATCACCTTGAAAGATATCGGCGCCGGTGGTTAGAGTGATTACCTCTCACCCCAGCAGGCCTGGGTCCAATTCTAAGGCATAACATCTCTGATCACGCCTTCCTTCGGGAAGTAAAGCCGTTGGTCCCCGGTTGAGATGATGGGTCGATTGGTAGGGTCCAGGTGTGGGAGCTGCCTCCATGGCGTCGGTAGCATTGGAGCTCAGTATGGAAAACAAATCTCGCGACACTTTTCAATAGGTCCTATCTACATAGATCGATTCTCGTCATCGACACTCTATTTCGTAAATAACTCAGCTTCACAAATGTTTCCTGGCGTCCTGCTTCCAGTTTGATTACATGAGCATTTTGTGTGATCGTTGGTTCTGAATATAGACAAACAGGCAGATGAATTCTAATCCTACTCTTTACTGTAATAAGCTTGGTGGCCCTGAAAAGAACCATTTTGTTGCCCAAGTTGGTGATGATTTAACCTTCGAAACCAAACAGAATGCGTCTCTGTCACTTCAAAACGTAGATGACATCCATGGCCGCTTACGCTTGGCATGTTTAGTGTAGGTGACAGCATCACGGATCTCACTTTTTAGGAACACCTTCAGCACACCTCGTAAATCAGACCGAAGATACGTCAGACACCGCCGTCAGCACGAGCCAGACGACGGATGGTGGTTATCTCGAAGAATCTACGTTTGGTTCAGAATATGGCGATGAGTGTGCAAAATATTACGCAATTCCATCCTCCCTATTCGCACGCGCCCGAGGATCGGAGGCGAATGCCACTTCGACTTGTTTCGTCTACTAACTACTCTCTGACGACTGTGCTGGGGAAGCAGCATATGCATGTAGGTAATTGGTGGATTTGTTAGTTAATTCGACGCTTTTGGACAATGCTGGACATTTACCAGTTTTGCAATAGTTTCTTTTTGAAAATCAACATTCAAAAGCACTGTTATCGATGCGTAGCCATATTTCTGATCGATTGGTGATAAAATTATTGAAATTGGACCAGGGACAGCTGAGTTATTAACGTTCAAAATCTTTCTTAATTTGTTACATGTTCCATTTTCGGTTTTCACAAAGTGTACCCCCATATAGAAATCAAAAACGTAGTCCTACGTCAAAAATCCGGAATCACCGGAAAAATTGTCAATTCATAAAATAGACCTATAAATCCACGATTTTTTTTAATTGCATACAATCATGAGTGTAGAGGAAACATAAAACATCAACATATCAATTTTGCTACCTGGTGGTCAGGAAACGGTCCTGTGGATATCCGGAATCAATGAAAAAAAAAAATACCATATCTGAAACTAGACCTTGAGATGCTTGATTTTTTTTCAGAATTGCAAGCAATCATGAGCATAGAGGAAATATGTTATCACCATATCGATTCTGCTACCAGGAGGTCAGAAAACTGTCCTCTGGATATCTGAAATTACCAGAAAAATGATTAATTCATATAAGTTGACTAGGAGAACGCTATTTCTGCTAAATTGCAGACTATCTTGAGCATAGAGGAAATATGCCAAAACTTGATCGATTCTGCTACTAAAGGGTGTCCCACATCAATGTGCTCCCCTTTCCGACATTGTGAACATTATTGAAAATGCAATTCAATATGACCAACATGCCTACAAATCGGCACCCGAGCAAAGTTCAGCATCAAAATGACAGGAAATTGAAATCAAGTTTTGATATCAACATAAAACTGAAATCATAATTTGATTCCAGTTTATGCAATCAGCAAACAACGGTCAGTAAACAAAACCAAACAGAACGCCCCAAATTCGATACTTGGTGTACAATCCGGCTATTGAAACCCCGTGACGTGATATACTCTCGAGCGGATAAGGGAAACACCGTG